CACATGGGGGGGCTCTGCCGTGAGCCCCCCAAACCTGCCCGCTCTCCTAGTTGCACCATGGCTGCCCCGCCACCCCAGCTCCTGGCCCTTTAAAAACAAAAAAAGAAATACCCCGCACTCACCAGCAGCTGCCAGGCAGGGCTGCCTCCCACTCCCCGCTGCTCTACCCTGCCCAACACTGCATGGGAGGGCTCTTCCATGAGCCCCCTGAGGCCACTTGAGCAGCCAGTGAGTGCAGGGGGGGGTGTTTTTTTTTAAAGGGCTGGGAGATGGGGCAGGCGGGGCAGCCACGGAGGAGCTGGGACAGTGGGTAGGGGTAGGGGGCTTGTGGCAGAGCCCCCTCACATGATGTGGGGCAGTAGGGGGACAGCAGGGATCTTCCCTCCCACCTGGCAGCACCCAGTGAGTAGGGCCTTTTTTTTAAACAACCGGGAGCTAGGGTGGACGGGGAAGCCATGGGGAATGGGGGTGTCTGGAGGAGCAGGCAGGGTATGGGGCCTGTCAGGCGTCCCCCCCATTGTCCCCACCACCTACTTATCGGCATGGAGTCTGGGTCCAGCTCTCTGCTGCAGCCAGCGGGGACTGCCTGAATCACCGAACTTCTCTGAATCTTTTCCAAATCAATTCAGACAGCTTTGAATCGATTCAGACCTTTTAATTGGTCCCCTGATTCAATTCAGATTCAGAGATTTGGCCACTGAATCGGGCTGAATCTCCTCCGAATCAAATCAGCACCCAAAGTTTCACACAGCCCTACTATGTATGATCTTTAACACTTGAAATGTAGACTTGAAACATGGAGGAGGCTTTCCAATTCTTCAAGTTAAAGGTGCAAACCTATCTGGAACTTGCTTAATAGATTCCCGAAGCAAGAGGGAAGATGTAGGGAAGGACCTAATGGATGAGCAACTACCTCAGGATGAATATTTAGACTAAGCAGAGAGTCTACAGAGAATGGAAAAAGGGACTGACTGGAGGACATGTATATGTTTCATGTCAGGAAGCATAGGGTGCCTATACACAAGCAGGAACTGCTCCGATGCACTGTAGTTCCAGCGCATTGGAGCAGACTCGATTAATCGAGACTGCTGGAGTATGGCAATTACTGCACTCCAGCAGCCTCCCACATCTCATGTATCAGTGTCCCTGTGCTTCAAATAGTGGCAGGGATGCTTTATCTAAAGCTTGTTCTTGGAGATGCTCTAATTAAAATGCTCCTGCCCCACTCCCAGAGCATGTGTATAAACACCCATAGAGACAAATTGGGACCTGCCAGGCTGCTAAGCAGTGAAGATGGGATGAAGATTAAAGATAAGGGAGGTTTACAGCCCAGACTAATTGAATGCTCCACTGCTTTTCAGTAAGGATACTGATACTGAGCTTGGGGATAAAGGAAGGATGGCAGAAGGAACGAGTGTAAGGAAGTATAAATTGCCACATCTGAGGTGGAGACAAAACTCTAATAACTTAGAATGTTTAAAATAGGGATAATCCTCGAATTATGCAAGCATATGAAAATACTGGTCTGGAGGCAAGAAATTTTAATAAATCTATTGAACCCAAGGTGGCACATTGTGATTAGAGAATAGAAAATGCAATACCAATATATAAGAAAAATAGGGGGGAAGTAATTTTTGCAACAATCTGATCATTAGTCTGACCTCAGTAGTATGCAAGGTTTTAAAACAAATATTGCAAGAGAGTTTTAAAATTAAATGGAAACTGGAAAAAAATGAAACACAAATTTTACAAAGACATACCAGATTAAGCTGATATTTTCCTTTGATAATTTCCTTTGATAAATATATTTTCTAATCAAGGGAAACTGTCTCTCAATTTTAGTAAAGGATTTAATATGGTGCCATATATATATGGGAAACAATTAGTAAAACTAGAAAATATGGGAGTTAGTACCAACACAGTATGGTAGATAAAATGAAGATGACAATAGTTATGGTATTAATGAAATGTGGGTGATGTTAGTAGTGGAGTTTCTCATGGATCAGTCTTGAGATTGACATTTAATATTTTCTTAAGTAACCTTGGCACAAAATAGAAGGGTGCTAATGATATTTTTTTTGAGCATACAAAGTTACAAGACAGTGTAACTAGTGAGGAGGATCAGAATATCACACAGGAAGAACTGGATGACCTCAAAAACTGGAGTAATATGAGATTAAATTTACAGCCACAAAATTGTGCCACTACTATGTGTTGCAGTGCACACCCCTGCATGTGCCTGTTGTTGCAGGCCATGCCCTGCTCCTCCCAGCTTCTGGCTAGGGAGCAGGAAGGAAACGACTGGCTGGGGGTGCCTTAGTGCAGGGCTAGGTGGCAAGAAGCCCCCAGTCGGGGAGCAGCACATGGTGATGGCAGAGTGTGCTTCATCTTGGGGGCTCTGCAACATGTGGAGCTGGGGGATTAGGCAGCCCTGGCCTGCCTGCTCGCCTGTCTCTGCATTTGTGCCGGCACATGCTATTTTCATGGGCTTTGCCCTGCTTTTTTCCTACCAGGAAATCCCGGTATCAAATTTTGCCCTGTGCTGCAAATTAGGGGTACTGCACACAGTTTAACGTGCAATGCATGCAGTTTGTGGTTCCACAAAGAGATTGCATGTGTGGATGTGATCTACTAGTGCAAAGCTCACTGAACTAGTAGGAACTAGTGACAAGAATGTGTGCTATAAGTTGGGAGATGTAACTGGATTTGGGAACGTGAATTGGAAAGGATAGTGGAAGGGCAAGACATTGGTGTATTATGCATGACTACCCGGTAAACTTACCATGCTGGATAGTGGCACCTTCAAATATGCTCTTCTGCTGTATGCAGATTTCATCCTACACTGGATGGAGTGCAGTTGCTTCTGTATGGTGCTTTGAGTGGATTGGTTAGCAAAGCTGAATGACCATGATAATTAGGAGGGCTGTGTGAAGTTTCAGTGGCCGATTTGATTCAAAGGAGATTTGGTATGATTCAGCTGCCGAATCTCCGAACCTGAATCAAATCAGGAGACCCATTAATCTTTCAGAATCAAATCAGAAGCCTCCAGATTGATTCAGAGAGATTTGGTCATAGACTGTACAGGCAGTGCCAGCAGGAACAGCTGGGGGAGCAGCCAGACAAGCCCTGGCTTGAGCCGGCAGCCCCGGGTGAAGCCATGGCTCATCCAGCTGCTCCCCCGGCTGCTCCTCTGTCAGGGCAAGGCAGACAGTGCTAGCAGCCCCGAGAGAAGCTGCAGGGGCTGAGGGGATGAAACTGGGAGCCGGGGGAAATCTCTGTTCATTCTCCCAGCCCCTGATCATTCCCCCAGCTCCCTGATCATTCTCCGCAGCTCCTATGGCTTCTCCTGGGGCTGCCAGCTCAAGCTACAGCTTGTCTGGCTGCTCCCCCGGCTGCCGCCCTAACAGGGCGAAGCAGGCAGTGTTGGCAGCACCGGGACAAGCCATGGGGGCTGTGAGGAATGATCAGGGAGCTGTGGGGAATGACTGGAGACTGGGGGAAGGAACAGGGGCTTCCCCCCAGCTCCTGGTTTGATCCCTCAGCTCCCAATCATTCCCCCAGCTCCCTGATCATTCCCCCCAGCCCCTGCAGCTTCTCCTGGGGCTGCTCGCTCACATCATGGCTCATCTGGATGAGTGAATACTTTCTGCTTCACGCAGGCCTAATAACTAGCTTGCCCTCCCATACTAATCAGCCTACAGGAACTGCACCATAGACATGGCTATACTGTTTCCAGATTAAAAAGCAATCTGAGTGGAGCAACATGGCGTGTGCAAAGTGGTTGATCTATTGGCATAGTAAGTTTAACAGGTAGGCATGTCTATAGTGCATCAGGCAGAGTAGGTTTGCACTTTATAGACTCAGGAAATCAGAGATGTATAGCATAAATTTTTGTAAGCAGAAGGTTTACTTCATCACATACGTTATCAGAAGAAGTTAACTTTAGGTAAGTTTACAGATGCTGATGAAGTAAGCCCTCTGCTTATGAAATCGTGTTATACCTATTTGATTTAGTTAACCTATAAGGTGCCTTTTACCTGACTTCAGTCTAACAGCTAACTACCTCTCTCTGCTCATATATAGTACACTAGCCAATCACAGGATAACTGTAAGCCACAGGTGCTACACTACCATAAAAAAGGCAAGTGAGATCTTTGGATATAGTAGGCAAGGTGTTTCCAATAAGGATAAGGAAATATTAGTGCCATACTATAAGGTGAAGCCTCATCTGTAACACTACTTACAGTTCTGGCCATCCACAACTTTTTTAAACTGGAACAGGTACAGAGAAAGGCTAGTAGGATGATCAAGAGAATGGAGGAAAAAACTTAAGAAATTAAACTACAAATGTTTAACCAGTAAAATGAGGGCAGCAAGAAGATATGATTGGTCTCTATAAGTATACCAAGGATAAAGAAAAGCTGTTTAGACTTGTGGATTATGTTGGCTCTAGAACAAATGGACACATTGTTAGCACCACTGCTCACCATAGTGCTTAGGATTGTTAAAGCACAATTAACCCTTAAATACAACATGAAATACAAACAGTCAACTCAGTGTCCTAAAATCAAAGTCTAACTTTATTAGTACAACAAATATTATCTTAGCAGTTTCTATATTCAGAGAGAGAAAAACATTCAGTACAATAAT